AAAAATGGCGACACGATGCATGTTTATTTCCTATGTCGATTGGGAAAATGAATCTAGAATGATGTTTTAAACCGCTGCAGTCAAAATGCACCAGGAGCACCCTATGGACAAACCCAATCAGACGTTGCCTCAATGGCTGAGGTGAAGATAGCGAGGAGCGGGACTTGGCTACGTGATCACCACCCATAAGAATTGAACAGCCAGAGTTGACATTATTATAACTACCACTTTGTTTGTTTTGTTTGACATAGAATATGTTACACTATCATTGCAGTATGTATGCAATCATGTATATAGGAATAGGTATGTCTGTGTGTTTTGACATGACCACCGTGCCTTTTTGCTGTTTTGAAGCGGCAGGACCACAGCTTGTTGCCGCGATTGGGGGTGCAAAGCCAGCTGCGAACAAACCGGAGCTGCCTAGTTTGCCTCGGTGTTTCTTGGCTCCACTGGAAGAGTATATTTTTGGTGTATGCGTACGGGCGTACGTATGTATATATATATATATACATTATGTGCGTGTTTAGCTGTGCATAATTGCATTCTACATACATACATATATATATATATATGTGTGTGTGTGTGTGACACATGTGTGTCTTAGTATATGCATATTCATTTATAAAGAATTTATAGATGTAGACTATACACCTATGCCTTTATACATACATGATAAAATATATATATATATGTGTGTGTGTGTGTTATTATTATTATTATTCCCCACCTGCCAGGTGAGGGTTGTTAGATTCTATCAGAGCTGTTGTCCTCCTCCTTCTCCTCCTCCTCCGCCTCCTCCTCCAGTTTCTCCTCGACCATGTCTGCATCAACTTCCACCTCCACTTCCGCCTTGCCAACTCTTCGCCAAGCTCTTCGCCAAATTCCGAGCTCAGTGCGCACTGCTGGACCTCAACCTGGGACCTTCCCAGCTCAGTGCGCACTGCTGGACCTCAACCTGGGACCTTCCCAGCTCAGTGCGCACTGCTGGACCTCAACCTGGGACCTTCCCAGCTCAGTGCGCACCGCTGGACCTCAACCTGGGACCTTCCCAGCTCAGCGCGCACCGCTGGACGTCAACCTGGGACCTTCCCAGCTCAGTGCGCACTGCTGGACCTCAACCTGGGACCTTCCCAGCTCAGTGCGCACCGCTGGACCTCAACCTGGGACCTTCCCAGCTCAGCGCGCACCGCTGTACCTCAACCTGGGACCTGCCGAGCTCAGCGCGCACCGCTGGACCTCAACCTGGGGCCTTCCGAACTCGGTGCGCACCGCTGGACCTCAAAAGCCAGATAGAATGCCAGAAGATATGCCAGATAGAATGTCAGATAGAATGCGAGAAGATATGCCAGATAAAATGCCATAAGATATGCCAGATAGAGTGCCAGGAGATATGCCAGATAGAATGTTAGAAGATATGCCAGATAGAATGCCAGAAGGTATGCCAGATAGAATGCCAGATAAAATGTCAGATAGAATGCCAGAAGATATGCCAGATAAAGTGCCAGAATGTTTGCCAGTAACAAAATGTACAAATGTCATGGTGGGGATCGCACGAAGTAAAGTAATTATTATTTTTTTATTTGTATATATAAGTATATATTATGATTTAATATATGTCATATACCTATACATTTATCATCATTTATCTACATGTATATGTATGTAATATATATATATCTATGTATAATGTACATATTTATGCTTGCGATTTTCGCCGAGGTGTCCCTGGTGGCAGCAGTGTCATTGATCTTCCTGCGAAGCCTCAGTGAAGAGCACTTGAGGCCCAAGGGGATCCAACGGTTTAGTGGGAATTCATCGGATTTTCCTGGTGGTTTTCCTGGTGGTTTCATGGGGTTTAATAATAGGATTTAATGTGTTTGTTTTTGATTAGGGCAATTTCATGGAACTTCATGAGATTTGATGGGATTAGATATTGAGATTGATTCAATATGATCTAATGATATCTAATGGGGTAGAACTGGTGAACAGAAGTGGATTTACCAACCATGCGGGGACTGAACTCCTACAGTTATGTAGGTTTGATGCCATAGTTTCTAGACATATCCCAAGACAAATCCAAAAATTGCAACCATATGGTTATTTAACATAGCCGTGGAAAATCACCATTTTTAATCGATCTATTTCTATGGGCCATCTATACCATGGCGAACTGTTAAATAACCAGATGGAAATAGCAAAGTGAGTTGGAGATGTAGCCACAGCTACATAGGTGGTTGGGCATGGCCTCAGGTCCCTGGTGCCTGTCGCGCAACGTGTGAGAGTAGTGGAGGACGCCTTTTGGGAAGCCGATCAACTCTTCGAGGGTCTTGAGCCTGGCTGGTAATGGGATTTGCCTGAGGACCCAAGGTTTTGCAAGATTAAATTTGGCATGAAGATTCACAGTCAGACTGCAGCTCATATCAATCTCAAGTCCAATGTCCAACTGAATATTCATCTGCAAGGTTTGTTGAATGATCGCCCTAATCCTCAACGGGTGGTCTTGAATTTTATATAATTTTGATGGCTTCCCTGCAGCTGAAAAGTCACCCAACCCTTTGGACCGCCGTTTCTCAGACCATCACTCAGTTTGCTTCAAACATGTTGGACTGGATCAGGGCACAACACATCTGAAAATAAGGCAGTGGTATCAGTAGTATCCCATGTGTTTTTTCCTTTTCCAAATTGTCCAATGATTTGCCCAGAAATCAAAAAAATGGTCTCCCGCCACAAGGAGCTGTACACCTTTGGCACTCCCGGCTCTGCGAAACTTTGGCACAAACTGACAACCCATAAGCGGCTTACACTTCATTGCCCGGAAAAACTGGACCAACTCCAGGGGGGAGTTCAAGTTCCAAAACCTTTTTATGTTGCCATTCTGTTTCTTTTGGGGCAAATGAATGCAAATGATAGGCCTGTCCAAAAGTGGAAAGATTGGAGAGCTGGAGATATGGTACACTGGTACACCAGCCTGAGGGAAAGCACGGATATCTATCATTATTTATCCGATATATCCCTGCAGCCCCTGCAGTCTCGAGCCGAGGAAAGACCTGTTGAGCGACAGAACCCGAGAAGATGGCTGCTTTCGAGGCCTTCGTGTGTACATGAGGAGATGGGCGACCAATGCGGTGGACCACTGCAGTGGATCGCAGTGTGCGGCCATTTGGCCCGGCCATTTGGGTATGGCTCAAAGCTGGGTACCCCAAATAAGATCATAGTCATAAACAACATATAAAAAAACGGGATATTCTATGATCTTTCGCACTGAACAATACCAACTGTTGTGGCTTCAAATGTTGACCAAGTTGACCCATGTCTTTTCGTGGACTCGTTCTTTTCCAGCAGCTGGCAGGAGTGCAAGGCCCGGCTGGGGTGATGTGGACGTTCCTGTCTATGAGCTTTGGCTGGCAATGGGGCCGGTCATGGGGCCGGTCATTGCAGCCTGGTGCCGCTATGCCCTTTTTTTTCCCGGAGAGATGCGACGTACCGTACCTCTTGAGGTTGATCTATACTACTCTTGTACCTGCCAATACATTTATAATTTATACTATACCTTTTATTAATTTATTACCTATTCATTCGTTTTTTTTGTAGACCCATCCTTCAACCTCTTCGTTGGAAGCTGAATGGTGAAAGATTGCGGAGCCCATCAAGCCCTGTGCCCAAAGCCAAGGACCCAGTGGCATGGATCACTCAACAGTTCAGCTACCGCCATGCAAGGAGAGCCGCCAGATTCCCCGGAAGAGAGACCTGAAAGATTTAAAAGCGAAGGGATCCAATACTCCACTCAACTAGGGTGCGCCTCGGGGAAGGTGTCATGTTTCTTCATGGTTACTTTCTGGTGGTTTCATGGTTTCAATTCCATCTCAACTGGTTCAATGAGACGAATTACATCCCGATGACTCAGATGTGTCCTGATTTTTCGGTAGTAGTGGCCAACCGACCCTTTGGCCAACCAACCCTGTTTTGATTTTGTTCACATGTTCGATTTTATCACCAAAGCTAAGAGCCACAAATTAGTCTTGATGATGTTCACCTATTTTTCACTTATGCTACAGTAGTTGGAGAAAATATTTTAAAACCCTGTCTATCCGAGACACCCCCTCGCCCCCGAAAGTTCAATGTGAACTTGAGGTGCATGAGCCCCTGTTTGCTCCAGGGTTTGAATATGTTTGTCCATCTACTGTAGTTCGTCTCTCATGAAATCATTTCTCTATTTTCCCCTGTCCTTTGATGCTCTCCAGGATGCGTTTCTTGGAGTTGCCAGAGCTGCTTCTTGGTTGCGAGGGTGACATCGTGGGAATGATCCCTGAAGTCTGGCCCCTTCCCCTAGAGGAGTTCAGGAAAGACTTAAGTGACATGGGTTTGTCTGAAAATGGTGGATTCCTGGATACCCAAAATGGCTACGTGTGGCTATTCTAATGGGACAATTGTTCATGTTCTAATCCATTGGAATGGGTTTAGCTTATTTTCAGACAAAGCCACATGGAAGACAAGCATTGCACACTTCCCCGGATCGGTTGAAACAAAAAGTAGAGGAAACCACAATCAGCACCGCCCAGGAACATCCAGGGACGGTGGATGTAGGGGGTCACCTTTCAACAACGGCCGTCCGCAGTTGCTAGCCTCTGGTGAACTTGTTGAGCCATGGAAAATCCCGGTTTAATAGGTAAATCAACGAACTCAGTGGCCATGTTCAATAGCTATGTTAAATTACCAAAGGGTAGGACAACTGCCGGGCGTATTGCTTCACTTTCTTAGGAACCTGTACCAGCATAGCATCTCACCTTGCAGCGTTGCTTGGCTAGCATGATGGTTTACACATAATGGGAGGTTCCTAAACTATGGATACCCCAAACCAGTGGTTTTCCAATTTATCAAAAAAAGCAGTGACTTGGATGATAACTTGGGGTACCCCCATTTGAGGAAACCTCCATGTATGTGTGTATGTATGTATATATATATATATATTTATATGGATATTGAACAGGGGATTCTCCAATTGTCAGGTTAAACTGTCAGAGCTTCGCATTTGATGCAGTTGATCCATGATGTTCGACGTCGCTCTGTGAGGCTCCCATTGAAGATCCACCCAGCGACACCTTTTGGTGGATCGAAGGGTGCGCCTTTCTGAGTTTGAGGGCCCCCTGGGTTCCCGTTCCGGACATGCAAAGTACTACGCCAGGTGCTTAATATTGTACACCTAGATGTAATTTGTATGCTATATATATAATATATATATATATAGTTATATGTATATTTATATATATATGTATATAATATACACCTGTACTTCACGTGATGATTCAGAATTATTGCAGCCCCAAAGGTGTTGAATGTTGGCTGTGACTACCAGGCACAGCTCATACGAGGCGGCGCTGAAGCATCACCTGCAAGCCACGGATCAGGCCCGCGCAGCTCATGATTCTGAGTGATTTCACCAGCAGCGAGTCGTATTTTATCAAATGGCTATGGATCAATACCTATAAGTACCATTTTTAGTGGGGTGAACATCCATAAATCCCAGCTATTTTGATGTGAACAGAAGGGGTACTATTGGTTTTGACACACTGCCAAATGAGATTATCATTTGAATATCATTGAAGATGTGTACAATCGCACTAATATACATTTATAGATACAGATATATAGATATTGATGATATTTTAACTTAGAAGTTATAATGCGCAGAAAAAAATCCTGCCATTCTCATGATATGATCCCTCTTAGCTCGCGGGCAAGGAGTTGCCTCAAGCCCTTTGGCCGAGTTCGATGGGACTTTGCGCAGAGGGTTCGGTGAAGTCCCATCGATTTCTATCGCTTAAGGAATGACTTAGTTAATGAATGGCGAATGGAATGATATCCTGATGAACTTAGATTTCTACATGTTGACTTGGTTAATATGGTTAATGTTTAAGTCAATGATATTTTTTTTATCCTGGTCTTTCATGGGATCGGCATTTGAATGGTAGTTAATAACCATCAACTTTTGGATTTTAATGGGACTTATATAATGGATCACCTTATGGGATTTCTATGGTTTGACTTTCCAGTAGGAAGGAAGTCTCATGGTCATTCATGGTCCATTTAGGTCCATGATTTACCTCAAAAAAACATGGTGATTTTCCAGTTCGCTATGTTTTGTTTTACCGCGAGGGTTTTATATGGATAAATTGGATAAACCAAAAGATAGACAGGCTGCCCATTTATGGTGCCCATAAAATTGCTGTTTTTTTGGGATGATTTTTGGCAGTGGGTACCTGGTTGATGATATTTGTAATGCGGTAGATCAGACAAAGTGGTTTCAACTGCAGATATTGGATGAGATTAGGGTTGGAAGCGAGCTGGGGAAAAAGGCCATCAGGATCTTCGCAGCCAAGGACCTGAAAGCTACTACCAGCCAACTGAATGATCTGCAGAAGGCTTGGGTGCTCAGTTTCAGTTGCACACGCGGTATGAATGGATTCACAGTCAGTGGATGTTTTTTTCTGCTTTAACATTCTGAAACATACCATATACAGATGATTTTCCAATTCAAACCATTAAGAATAAAATTTATTAATAGTGGATTTCCCAACTAGCCATGTTTAGTAATACTGGAGGTCAGTTTTCATTCTGTTCATCTCACCGCGAGGCGTATTTGATGAGTCACTTCACGTTCGTCATTTACGACCCGCAGATGGCCACGGTCCATGCGGATGCCATCCAGTGGGGCTGGACTCTGGTGGGCTACGCCGAATCTCTTCCTGGGGAGCCCAGGGTCAGTGTGGCTCGCCGTTGAAGTCATCCCATCCCCCAGGTGATCGAATACCCCCCAAAAAAAGGACCCAACATGAACAGATTCATTACTAAACTGGAGTTTCAAGGTTGGTATTTAAGAATACTAGGCTGAAGGGATTATGATTTTTTAATATGTATAATAAGTATGCTTACCCCTATTACTGGTAGGTAGCATTTCAATATGGGATGTTGTAGCATGGCCATGACCCATGACCCCAGGAGCTTGGATGGCCATGTACAGCACCTCGTGGCTCGATGGCTGACACCCCATGTGTTTGTTGCATTTCAAGTGGTTTTCTAGGCTGTACCCTCTGGTAAACTAACATAACTATGGAAAATCATCATTTTCAATGGGAAAATCCACTATAAATGGTCATTTTCAATAGCTATGTTAGTTTACCAGAGGGTAAGAGAATCATGAGAATTCTTAAATAGATTCACTCCAGCGATCAGTATGATCAGTATGATCACTTGGGCACCCCACTCCGCCCTGATCGCCCTGACTCCGAGCCCGGTATGAGCGGTATGAGCTGAGAACTCCATCGTCACATTCCACGATCACGCAGCTCTCTTTCAACATCCCAGGAGTGCCAGGGTTTTCCACTGATGGGCGGACGGGCTGGTGTTTATTTGATGCAATTGACAGATACTGGCAGTTTCTTCGGCCATTTGCCTGGAACATGCAATCTTAGGCAGTGCACAATGATGCACCATGCATCTCAATGCGTTGCAACAACCTGCATTAGAGGTTTCCTAACTTGGAGGTAGCCCTAAATCATCCATTTATCATCCATTTTAGTGGATTTTTATGGATTTTTTAGATGGTTTTTCCCCCTCATCAGAACCAAAAACCTTTGATTCTGGGGGTAGCCCACAGCATCTCCAGGAGCTTGGAATGCGTGCTGGCCTTTGAAGGAAGTCACTCGCATTTTGATGCCTTTGAAGAGCATCTACTGCAAATGCAAACGCACATATTTGTATATACATATATATATAATATATATATGTATGTATTTATATATATATATATATGTGTTCGCGCTACATAGGTAGTAGATAGATATAGATATATAACAATATATATATACATTTAGAGGCTGTAACATCCCATAAAATGAGGTGCCTATCTATGTTATTGGATTTATGTAAATACAACTCACATCACGCACCGATTGTGCCCACGTTGGTTCAGCATAAGAACATGGATAGACTTCATTACACTTCCCGAATTTCGAGAAATCACGCGCGATTCAGATGCACATTCTGACTCCTTGTTTCGAAGGTTGAATCGCGCCCTGAAATGTTTGGGCATTTTCAGAACCAGATGTGACCTTATCATCGACACCCCAATCCACATTTCTCAGAATTTGATCAGAGATGCTCAAACGACTGAGGTGACCGAGAAGACGTCAGTGACTGGCAGCTTGTCCCCTGTGCATAAACGTCATGAACATACCCATGAACTCTTAGACAAATTGTTTAGAGTTTATGGGTATGTTTATGACGACAATTGTGTTTCAATTCCTGTGAGAGGCTTGGAGCTACATGTGCATATCGTGATGATCTTCACACAACGTCAGGCATCTACGTGAATTGATGAAATAAATATGATATGGATATGCACATGCAATGCAAATAATAGAAGTATATATGTTTATACGATATTATATGTATTTTTCTCAGCATACACTTGCATAGCAGTATTTGCTATCCATCTCAGGGTCTATGATGTGGAGATTGCAACCGTGGACTTCTGCGGCTTTACTAACGTCCACCGCGGCTTCAAGGAGAAATTGATGGCGATGCTCGAAAGCACCTTGGCTGAGTTCGATATGAAACTCTTACAACATGAAGCGCGCACATTTTCCTAGAGTTGGTTCTGAAAACCATAGGAACCCCCTAAAATTTGGATTAACAACCATGGTTTCCGATGTTGACTTTCTCTTAAACCAGTCCATTGACATTTGTAGGTCGTCTCATCTTCTTGCAGGTGATGACTTTGACCAGGCAAGAGGACTGACTGTGAATCGTGGCCATAGGACAAAAGTTCCGCTTGTTGAGCTTCCGGCAATGAATATGTTTGGTTTCTTCTTCTGCACATCCTTTCCCCGTAGAATCCTAGCATGGAGCTGTGCCTTACCCCGGTCGCATTTCCACCCTCCAAAAGCTTTACATTCTTATATACTCAAAAGAGGGTGAGAATTGACCGTCCCACACCTGCCACACAAAACGGACTTGACAACATGGCCCGCAGTTGACCGAGATGGTTGTTTTGTAAAGCTTTCAAGAAGCATAAACTTTGTTCCTCTTGAAGTAGTGACTCGTGCGGTTGGTTTGGTAGGGTTGCCGATGGATTCTGTATATACATATTATAGCTTATATATATATATATATATATAGGGGGAGAGGGGGGGAGAAAGGGAGAAAGGGAGCGAGATAGAGAGAAGAAGAGAGAAGAAGAAGAAGAAGACGAAGAAGAAGAAGAAGAAGAAAAAGAAGGAGAAGACGAAAAAAAGAAAAAGCAGAAGCGGAAGAAGGAAATAACGGGGGGAGGGCGACACAGAGTCATCACCGATCGCCGATCACCAACGGTTTCTTTTGTGCCAACGTCAGCGGCACTGCACCAGGCCATCCGGGTGAGATTGCCTTATTGCTCCAAGGCTGGAATCTTGAGGGTGCAGTTGAGATGATGTCTTCATGGGATTTTATCATATTTTAATATATGTTTATATTTTATGGGTATCACTCTGGGAGTCTAACCCCCATAAGTTAGGATATATAACTTATATAACCCCTCGTTCATATGGTTTGCGAGTGAGTTTGTGCTCCTTGGGCTTTTCATTTTGTTTATGTTTCCTTCCTTACTGCACTGCTGAACCTGTTCGGGAATGATGTTGTCCATTTGATGCTGTGGCATTCATCATGCCCAACCCCAGATTTCAGTGTTGAACATGCCCAAAAGGACACACGAATCAGGTTCTTGGCTGTTTTTCCTGCAATATGGAGGTTTCCTAAATCATCCATTTACAAATGGAATCAGATGGATTTTCCATGGATTTTCCATGACATAAACCATCCATTTCTATCCATTTCTGGGGAAACCCTCATATCCTATCATATCCTGCATCCCTCAGTTGATCGCTGCTGGGCATTCCATGGGCGGGTCACAAGCGGAGCTCTTCAGTGCTTGTGCCAACCGCCATTTGAAGGAGAACGAAGAGGCTCGGTTCATCTCCCTGACGTGCGTGGTTCAAAAGAATCCTGTTTATCCTTTGTCTGCTCTTTGGGTTCAGACATCTTTGATCATTTTGGGATCATTTTGGGACTAAAAACTGTTTCTGAAACCTGCCATGGGAGATTTTTCGGGAAGATGACATCCGGAGCGCCCAGGCAGCGTTGAGGGATCAACAGCTGGTGAAATTTGAGACCAAGAAGCCAACTGCCCTGAAGCCATATCTTTCAGAACAGGCGCGTCACGCGAAGTCACGCGGCTTTTTGATACTGTGACGACTAGCCAAAAAGAAAGCTATAGAAAGGTTGGAAACCTGGAATTTGTATGAATTTGTGGAGAAAACTATGAGGAATCGAATATCACATCCTGGAAACACGTTTCTATCTTTTTGGGGTTACTGTAATTGGTTCATGATCAGCCAATACTGTGGCCAGTACTTGAACTTCAAGCTGTTTGGGCATGTTTGTCAGCTTTCGTCTACGTTCATAAAACCTGTCACTTAGTATCTTAGTATATCTTAGTTATAGAATGAATTCCTTTTGCATGCATTTAGTTTGAGATTCTTCACATGAAATAGCACCCGCAGCCCAGACCCAGTTTCTCAGCCATGTTTTTGTGTTATTTTTGCGTTTATGGTTTATGTGTTTCTTCAGTTCCTTAAATTCTTGCGCTTCCACCGAGCACTCAACTGTCATCCAGGGCAGCAACAGTTCCGCATCCCTGGCTCCCATGATGCAGGTTCCAGGCATTTTCCTCAGAAATCGCTTGAGCAACTTGTGCCTGGATGCCCCTTGTTCCCTACAGTTTCAGGATGTTTTGTGCATGTGGACCCAGTGAAATGATGTGACATGTAGATTTTCTGGACAATGTCAAACTTATTCGTTTTGTTTGCTTTCATCCATGCCATACCTGAGATGATTTGAAGTTTTTTTTTGGGACCAATTAGTTAGTTGGGACTCGTTAGTAGCAGAGTACGTTGTGGGTATGGTTGGCCCAACATGCCCAATCAAAAAACATATACATTCGCATACATTTACCCGCTGGTAAACTAACATAGCTATTGAAAATGGCCATTTATAGTGGATTTACCCATTAAAAATTGCGATTTTCCATAGTTATGTCAGTTTACCAGAGGGTAAGGGAAAACAATGTTCTTTCTCCATGGAATATTGAGGGTTCAGTTCAATCACATTCTTTCCGATCATTTGTATGGTGTCAAAACCCTTTCGTACCTGTCTATCTGTGATGCAGGGTCATTCAGTGTAATGTAGTGTAGTGGAGTGTAGTGGAATGTAGTGTAGTGTAGTGTAATGTGGTGTAGTGTAGCTTAATTTAGTGTAGTGGAGTGTAGTGTAGTGTAATGTAGTGAAGTGTAGTGGAAGGTAGTGTAGTGTAATGTAGTGTAGTGTAGTGGATTGTAATGTAGTGTAATGTAGTGTAGTGTAGTGTAATTTAGTGTAGTGGAGTGTAGTTGTGTAGTTGTAGTTGTAGTGTAGTGGAGTGTAGTGTAGTGTAATGTAGTGAAGTGTAGTGGAAGGTAGTGTAGTGTAATGTAGTGTAGTGTAATGTAGTGTAGTGTAGTGGAGTGTAGTGGAGTGTAGTTGTGTAGTTGTAGTTGTAGTGTTGTGGAGTGTAGTGTAATGTAGTGTAGTGTAGTGGAGTGTAGTGTAGTGTAATGTAGTGTAGTGAAGCGAAGCGAAGCGACATCTGAACCTCCAAAAGCCTTGTGTGTTTAACATTTTGACTTCGAAATGTGCTTCGCGCCACAACGGCGTGCACTTTTTCGACATCTCAACTTCCAAAAGTGCTCCGACGCTGGTATGTTTTGTACATTTTGACTTCGAAATGTGCTTCGCGCCACAACGGCGTGCAATTTTTCATCTCTCATCTGGCCAGCTGGCTCCGCACCCGCCGCTTTAGCGAGCCTACTTTTCGACCCTCCGGAGCTTCAAATCATTGGAAAAACACAGTGTTTCGCGACTTTCCTACCTTTTCGCGCATCTGCATCTTCTTTCTTCTGATTCTTTCTCTTCTACTCTTCTCTCTTCTAATCTTTCTCTTCTCTCTGCCTCTGCCCTGCTCTGCTTTTCATCTGTCCATATTGTCGGAAGTTTGACTTCTAAACTTCCCTTCGATTATATACAGTAGATAGGTAGAAAGATAGATAGAAAGAAAGAAAGGAAAGACACCTACAGTGCTGCAGCTAAGTAAACAGATACGTAGATACAGAATGAGGTTGTAAATCATACAATATCGTATCATGTTATCTCGTTGTTTGCGTGCGTCTGTGTGTGTGTTGCGCTCATAGACGAGATACGGTCTTTCAAGTGTGTGTTGCGCTCACCCTACCATTCCCAGCCAAGGCTGTAGGACTGCTGGACCCTGCAGAGGCACCTCAGTTGACTACCTGTCGATCTAAGGCCTTTAAGCCTTTAAGGGTTATTGATGTTGCATCATGCATTGAATCATATTGAATCTCATATTGGATGGTAAGGGTTTGAACTCTTAGACTTGACTGCTTCAACCGAGGTCAAGAGCCTTCAAGCAGGGCTTTGTCATGATCAACGACAAGTACGGCAGCACTGGAAGGTGGAGGACGGCCGTGTCATTAGCGAGCTCGCCGGCCTGTGTTTGACTGTATCTTGACGCCAAGGGGTTCAGAGGCAACAAACTGATGACAACTTGGCTTGTGGCCCTGTGGCTAAAGGGTTTCGGAGGCAGCTAAACATGTATAATTAACAGGTCTGCACTGCAAGAAATCATTCCAAGGGCAGCTTGAGGAGATTGACGAAATTTGACAAAAAGGGTGCCTTGATAATCTCGCCGTCTCTTTATAAAGAAAAAACATCAACGGAATGATCCATTCATGATTTACTCTCGGTGTTTCAATAGCCTAAGGTTCAGGAGAGCGAGCATGAAGACGCTACTGTCATTCAGACGCCATGCCAATCTGAAGCAGATGGTCGCGTGGCACGGAACCAGTCGCTCAGCAGCAACTCAATGACAATCCACAGAATCACGCACTTAAGATCTAGAACAGGGAATACATTGAATAAGAATCATCAATCTAGACTTATATGTCATCCATATAGATGATAATATGATCATCCATACAGATGATGCATGGTCATGATATCCCATCCAAATCTCTTGAAATTGGTTAAACCTTCCACCATCTTCCACCTTTGTCTGCGTTACCGTTGTTAGGTCCTGGCAACTCACAGCGCAAGGCTTCCTGTTGAGCAGGTTGGAGGGGGGGCATGGGACATCCATTTGGGACAGTGGGACCATTTTTTGGACCAGCTTTGTTGTTTGGACCATTTACTTTGTTTGCCAGCATTGTGGGAAGCATTCTTTAAGGACGTGTAATATTATAATATCTATACAATTATTATATATCCCAGTAGAACTATGCTAGCAAATCCCGGATATTTCATGATATTTCAAGATAAACTGTTTAAAACCACCACAATTGATCCTGAACAACAAAAGCCACCGTAAAGTAAAGCGGAGAACGATCTACGAATGGTGGACTGTTCATCTCTATGCGACTTTCATTCTTGGCCCAGATCAACGGACGCTGACAGATGCTTGAACACGAACATGAAACTCTACAGGCTCGTGCGGCATTCGATCAGCCCTCCTGTGTGGCATGGTGCCCCTAAAGGGTTGTTTCAGTAATGGGATAGTGATGATGGACCAGTGGAGGCTGGGGTACCCAGCTGAATTCGATGGCCCCTTGACTTGTTCTTTTTGATCTGTTTGTGTCCCGGCTATTGGATGCCCCCCTTAATACTTGTACTCAAAAAGAACCATCCAGATTCACGACATGATCAATAGCAGTACATCAGCATTTTTCATCCCAGTGTCTGTTGGGAGTCCTCATTTTTCTGACCATGATATCACCAGATATCACCAGCATGTCTTCGCTTTGGTGCCATCCTCCAGGTGCCCCTACAGCGATCAAGTTTGGGACTTGAGCGCCCGGGCCTCAGGTGAAAGGGGATAGAACGGTAGAACTTCTGGATGTTTATGGATGCAAAAATCGGCCTATGGGGATAATGATGTACTGGGATAGATCCATATAGAACCAGCAAACAGGTTCTCATGCCTGTTTAGCAAACGCACCAGTTTCTCATAGCCTGTGCCAAAAGGTCTAGTAGGCTGTTGTGCTTTGTTGACTTTAGGATGTTGCTCAAGCATTGCAGTGTGGGCTCCATTTCCAAGTTTGAAGATCACCGTGATTTTCAAGTCGACAAATGGCTTCTGGATGGTTCTGGTCAAGAACTTCAAAATGTCCAAAGATTCCTCTTAGATCACTTATATCACTTAGTCACTTAGTACCGCAATCATTAAAACACATTCAAACCAGCCATATTTTTTGATGGTTTCTACCACCCAGATGGTAAGATTTGGGGATCCGATTGCACAGGCAGATGGTCACTTGGTGAACCGCCTTTCCGGGCTCTGCCTTGATGCTGCTTGGAATCCAACCAGAGATTGTAATGTCTAACTGTCTAAGTGGTGTAGCTCGGTGAACTTTGGTAAATCGTGCAGAAATGACTTTTCTGAACCCATAGCTCTGCCAATCCATCCAGCGGAGGATGAGTTCCACTTCCCACTTGAAATAAGTTAAAGCCATTGGGGTTGTTACTGATCTGTGGGTTGGATTCCAAATGATTCCAATTTCGATAGTATGCAAATTCTCATTGAGATTATCTTAACATCTTTTCAGGGAATACATGAGCAAGCCATTGGTTTTTGTCAGGTCTTTCTATGATAGCATTTAGGTTTCCATATTCACATCAGTCCCTATAAATAGCATCTGGAACCCATTCTTAATATGTTCCATTTTTTCCGTCATTTCCCCTGAATGACAATGGTTTCATATCAAAGACGGTTGACAATAACATTCTATGCCTTTATACAAGTCTGACATTCAACAATTGTAATGTATGACAATGACATTTGATATCATTTGACAAGATAGTGGTTTCTTATCAAAAACCATCCGGCAATGATATTAAACGGGGACCTATAGCGATGGAGAGAGAGAGAGAGAGATTGTTATATAACAAATGTGTTTGATTAAAATGATGATGGTAAGAACATATATGACAATGGCATGTTCATTTTTCCCCCAACCCAACTGGCCCTTCCCGTGGCTTAGCAAAAAGGTCGCAGGTGCTGCCTCGGTGCAAGGGACCAGTCTCCAAGTGTATCTTGGGCGCAGACCGGCCCTATTTAATCCTGAAGTAGATCGAACATTATGATAGAACATGGGGTTTTCGAAATTTGTCTCATAGTGTTTTTTTTTGAAAAGTCCATGGTCCATATTCTATCTACAGCTAGGTGATGATACATAATGAATATATATATATATATACATACTATATACATGAGCTCCATGAACTCATTATATATATAATTATATATATGTGTGTGTGCTCTGATAACATAAATGCATTTCAAAATTGTACTGCACTGAACAAGTGTGACCTCTCCGTTTTTTGTTCAGTACATGTTTAATCTTTGATTTGTTTTTGTGCGTTAGCGCATAAACTTCCTCAGCATTTAGTCGGATATGGGGCTTGGACATGCCAACGCAGAGGCAAAACTGTAGAGCCGGGCACGACAGCTTCACATCGCAACGGTGGCAGGCAAGGTCTCTTCTGAATCGTTTGTGGCTGGATGTGGGGCTGCAGTCACAACCTGCTGCGGCCGAACAACTAGAGAAATATTGTGTGGATCTATATAGGTGATATGGAAAGAGAGAGGCCTACATAAACATATAATATAAATATAATATAAATAAATAGATAGATAAATAAATAAATACTAAATATATATATATATATACCAGGGGTACCAAACGGGTGCCGTAGTGGGACCCCTTAGCCAAAAAACACAGTGGGACCCCTTATTTTTTTAGGTGGTTTAGAGGTAGTTTGGAGGGTTCTTGACCATGCATCTCAATTTTTGATCGCTGAGGGCCCAGGTTCACCCGCAATGGCCACACTGCAGCCTGGCCACCGGCTCATGTAGGAATGATCGACCAAAGGCATGGGCATCAGGTACAACACCTTCAAAGCTATGGAATGGTTGGCACTGAATGGCCCAAGTTAAAACAGATAGGTAATAGAGTTACTAGAGGTGCAAGGTACCCCAACACAATGTTAAGTATCATTAGAAGGAAATTCCGTCGTTGGACATCTGCCATGCCGAAGCGCAAGAGTGGCAGCAAGGATTTCAATGATGAGGCGAAGAGCCTTGTCCAACAACATATTTGGAGGGTTTCATCGGGAAAAAAACATCAACATTCATTTTTAAAAACCATGACTGTGAATAAGGATCATGGCAAAAGCGTTGATGGCCCGTATCGATGATAAATGTATTGAATGGATCCGACGATCTGGTGAGTTTTGGCCTGGCGGAGACATCCGCGTTAGTGCCAATCAGTGGCTGCGAGCAGCATTCCATGACAGCTCCCTCAAGAAAGTTCTACGTGAGAACTCTATGAGACAAGCCTTACACATTGTTGTCAACAAGAAAGGGCTTCGTCTTCAACTGAGTTGATACGAAATTGTTTACTTTTATTTCCTGGTGAGCACATGTTCCAACATCATCCCCTGCCAACAATAAGGTTTTGGAAAGTCTGCCAACAATAAGGTTATGGTATGGGACAATGCATTTTGGGGGATGACAACAGCTGGGCATAATCTTTTGGAAAATGATATTTTTACCGAGCAAAAAGGGTTCATCTCCATTTCAAACCATGAGCCTGCAAGCTCGTTGGGCAAGTTACGGTAAAATCCCAAACGTAATCTGGTAAATGTTTTGGGCTAGAAATCTGAGAAAATTCCAAATCTATCCAAATCCCAAAAAAGGCGCGTGTCAAACGTGTCAGTGGCGTGTCTCGGGTGGTTCCTTGGGGGTCCCACAGTGGGACCCCTTAGGCTAAGGGGTGCCGTAGTGGGACCCCTTAAAAAGTGTCGGGGGTGCCCACCAAGTTCAGGGGGCGTGTCATTTCGTGTCGTGAAATCTCATTTTTGGTGGTTTGGTCAAAAAAAACGATCGATCTATTCTGTGGCTCCAGCGGGTTTTTTCGGGAACAACCTAGTCGATCTAGTTCCAGCCATGCCGGATGGAAAAGAGTTTGAGGCTGGCTAACCCTATTGAGTAGGGAAAACTCTGTAAGTAGTATTTGTTTATATTATATATATATGGCTGACTATCCCTGATGTTTCATTTTCATGTGAGCATATGCACATGCTCCACTATTTATATCACAACGAACACTGATGTAATACTTGGCTGGGGGGCTATGTCGGCTACATTACCTGGGCAGGTGAGCGCTGAGAAGATGAGGGCACTCAAAGCTCAAACTGTTCCGACAGAGGCTTTCAAAAAGTTTGAAAAGAAAATAAAACAAGCACTTGAAGATATCGAGCAAAACAGAAAGGAAACAGCACCATGTGAGGTTAGACCATATCGTCTACGACTGTGCTCCAGAAGTTTCTCCACTGAAACTAAGCTGCTATACAGATGAGGACGCGATGGGAAAACTGAAGAAATTAGCGGTGATTTCATATCCCAACCAGATGGGACGACAAGTTCTGTCACGCTACGCTGCATATACATGCGTGCGATGGCTTCGAAGACTCACAGAATAAGCTAGAGTATATACTCTAAATGTCAAAAGATGTCACTATGTATTTTTTTATGCTGTCATTTTGTGTACTGTGAGTTTTCGGCGACTGCATTTCCAACGACTCCCGTTGGCACCTTCTGAGCTTCTTTCCAAAATGTTGAGCTGGTCCAGCCGATGCCGCCGCAGCGCAGCCAGGTGTGAACTGGTGATTGATGGAATGGGGTTATTTGATAAGATTACCAAAGAATACCTACAAATATATCTTACTATATCCAGCACATATGTTTTTAACAGTTGGTATGACCTTGGGAATAAGGGTTCTCGTAGTGGGACCCCTTAAAGATATCAACTTCCAAAAACACAGTGGGGCCCCTTTGGCGGTGCTGGTATATATATATATATGTAAATAGAGATCACCAACATATCCACCTCTTTATTTTCATTACATTATATATCAAATATCTATATATACACACATAGACACATAATATATACAACAGCTGCACATTTGGCCACCTTTTCCCTACTGAAATTGGTGGCTGGAATATGCTGGAATGAATGTTTGACGGTGTGTTCAGGTATAGCCCATGACATATTCCAGTTCTCCAGGATTCTACAGGGGCCCCACACACCTATCAAAAATAAGTCCCTCTGTGCCACGGTCAAGACTTGGGTAATTTGCAGAGCTCTTAAGAGATGGTCATGGCATGGATGACACATAGCAACCATTCTTCTCTAGGATCTTCACTTTCCTATTTGTTTGGGGGTTGCTGGGGCTGTCGGTTGCTGTACCAGATAGTAAGCCCGGCTAATAGCCATGCACCGCAATGGCCAGGTCGCTGACGGCCAAGTGCGAAGTCTTGGAAGCGATTTATGTGTCATGCCTGGGCGGCTGAAGGGCTGGATGGACAGCCCAGATGATGAAAAGCATGTGGAAAAGCATGAAAGTGATATAGGAAATTACCCTCTGGTAATTTAACATAGCTATTGACAATGGCCATTTATAGTTGATTTACCTATTAAAGATGGTGATTTTCCATAGTTATGTTAGTTTACCAGAGGGTATAGGGAAACATGGAATTGCGAGGTGGACTTGATAGGAGTAGCAATCCATTTGGAAATGGATTGATACAATTGTTGGTCAATTTTCTCACGATTAAAAAAGTCTTATCCGGTTCATAGACGTTGATTCGATATAGACGGCATATGTTCAATAGATAATTATATATAGTTCTCATGTTTTATCATTTCGTTCCAGTACGTACAGTAGTTTGCGATAGATATTACGACAGCCACTTCACGCTCATACAACATTATTCAACTCAGGTTTTCGCTTCTAATCTAGACAACCCCAAAATGATTTTGTCGTACCAAGTTGTTTTAGTGCGTCCGGCAATCCTTTGAGGTCTAGCAGATCCTTGGCAGACATTTCAGCCGAATTCGCGGACTACTTTCCTCGACTCGACAGTGATCTAATCAAACTACATTTGAAATCATTCAAAAGTAGTTTGATGCCAATTCACTACATTAAGCCTGACCCTGGGTCAGTCTCACCTGTTGAGATGGATGGAGAGAGAAAGGTAGTTTGATGCCAATTCACTACTATATTCTTGGGAGGATATTGAATTCACCAACCACTTTGGTGTTGAGTTTTCTAGGTTTCCTTCTGGCGGTTTCTGGAGATGTTTTTTCCAATTGTCTCCTGAACATCTGAAGTTACCTCCGGTTGCCAGCTGCCAGAAATCCCCATCAAAAATGGAGGTTTCTCAATGGGAACATAATCTATGCATGGGGGATTGTCCATTGTGTGATTACCAGAGGGTAAGTTGATCTTCAAAATGCTGGCGCATGCTGGCACAATCTAAGGTTCGGACTTCACAGTGCCTTGATATGCGCTAAGAGCTGGTTATGCTTTGCAAACTTCCTAGCTGCTCCTAGCTATCATAAGTTTTCCAGACAAACTCTGGAAAGGAAAATAAGGAAACGCAGGCGGCTTGGCGGCCTGGCCTCGTGAACTTCTGAGGCAAGGGCTCTTGCAGTTAATCATGGCTGCATGCTCCCAGGACCATGGGAAGGTTGATAGCAGACCTAGCCGCCTTAGCCCCTGAGAACATTTGAGAACACCTTACACCAGCATCATGAAGATTGTACCAAACTGTCGGAACCTTGAAATCTGATGGTTGAAACCCTGATGTTCCACGGTCAATGTGACTATTTATTGTCCCCGAGTAAAAGACAAACCAGCCTGGAACCCACACAAGTTGAGCCCGCATTAGGAGGTTCAATGGGAATTACTTCCATTGGGTTTCCTGCAACATAGACCCACGGGCATGTGTGTGCAGCCCTTAGTCTTGCTGAACATCTTTGTTGCTGGTCCTTTTTTCAGTGACGTTACCAAGATTCGTTCATCCAAAGTCTGCAATTTCCTGCGCCCAGGTGAATGTGGATGGCAGCCCTGGCCAGGACAGTTCCGGATCACTGGAAAAAAAAGGTCGCGCCATCCACCGTGCCACCGTGCCACCGTGCTGTGCCACAGGATGCAGGCACTTCAGTTGATCTTGCTCCGTGCGAACTGAAGGACCAGGGAGTGCCGAAACCCTTACCAACATCATATCACCATATGTGTTCAGTAATGCAGCTCTTGTGTCGCCTGGCATCCGCAAGGAAATTGAAACTCCTGGCCTTTGGAAGCTTACGCCAGAAGGCAAGACAGTATGGGTGACACAAGCAGACTAAGGAGGTAAACCCAATAGTAAACCTCCATTTGAGGATGGTTATGGATGGTTTATACAACCCATTTGTGGTCATCTTGGAGATATGTTATAAAATTGGGTTTACCACATTTATTGTCAAGCTACCACTCGGGAATTGCTTCACACGGCCTATCCTTGGAGGCTTTCTGCTGAACAAGGGCAGTGACTGGCTCCAAGTCAACAAATGCATCAGCCCCCGGGTATGAAAAGCCTTCGAATGAGACCATGCTGGTGGACGTTTATCTTTGCGTTGGCTTTCTCACATTTTGGATTATGTTGGTATACATTTGGATGTATATCTGTGAGCTCATTTGTGAGTGCGTGTGAGTGTGTACCTCTCTCCTCTCTCCTCCCTCCTCTCTCCTCCCTCCTCTCTCCTCCCTCCTCTCTCGTCTTTCTTTTTGTCTCTCCTGTGCATACATATATATATATATGTGTGTGTGTGTGTGAGAAACCCTGAATCAAAGGGAAAAGCAGGGGGCCCGTGGACGCATAGATGGCACGGGCCAACGAAGACCCATCTATGTAGTCGTGAAAACGTACCTGCATCCGAAATGGCAAGGTGGCCAAGCCAAAAACCACCCAAGCCGACATGTCATGACATGACATGACATGACATGCTAATGTAACAACACGACATGACGGTTATCATTTCATCTCATTTCACCCTCTCCATTATGGAGTTTACCAAAGTGTGTCTTTCATGCACCCGGATCTCTGACAAAGTGCCGGGGAAGCTTGGTGGTGCGTCCGCCGGGGATACCAGGTTACAAGAATAAATCCAGACATAATGTTGCCAGAAGCCAGTTCCGCACAAGCATCCAGAGTTCGCACAAGCATCCAGAAGACTCCATCAGGGGATTGAATGCTTTTCAGAATAAATCCAGAATCTTTGTCAGAATAAATCCAGAGTCCATGCCAGAATAAATCCAGAGTGAAATTTTCATCCCTCAGAATAACCCCGTGTCATCCCATGCGGTTCTACATGTTTAACTAACACGACCGTTTTTCACTCTTAACCTTGGCCTCTACACATGAACTAGTAGTCTGATTGCAACACGGATCCCATGCATGACTGCACGCGGCTTTTTACAGACATGACTCGATAGCCTCACTGAGACCAATTTGGTTGGTTTTCGCGTAGTTTACATGGTGCAACATGAAAACCCTGTACATGAATCATCGCGTAGTTCACATGGCGCAACATGAAAGCCATGAACATGAATCATCATGCCATGGTGGCTAATGACATGAGTTAGATAAATTTCGACTTGACATCATGGCCACATTGAAGACTGACATGTGCAGCGCTTGCAGCTTCGTGATTCCGACCATGCAGCCCGCGATGACGGCAGCTGATTTGTTTGCCCAGTGGATGAGTTCAGCATCACACAACGCACAAGCATCAGCACCTTTTCTATCAACATTCTCTCAAAATCCACAACAACATTATCCAGCCGGACACACCTTACCACAATCAATGCAACCACAGTGTACCACAGCAGCTTTTACACAGCCTTTTGCTCCAATTCCACAACAACAACAACAACCACAACTTCTGGGACACACCGTCCCACAGCCAACACAAGCACCATTTGCCACCTCTGCGTTTACACAATCTCCATCTTTGCACACTTTCAACACACCACATCACAGCACAGCCATGCCAGGTTTTCAGCCACCACCGCATCACAACGCAGCCATACCCAATCCTCAGCTCTCACCACCACAATATGGATCACTCCTCAATTACCAGCCTACACCACACTCAACAACCACGACACTAGTTCAACCACTACCAGCCACACCATTTTCACAGCAATTTCCAACCACTACAGCTTCAACGCCACCAATGAGTCACAACAAGCACAACCGTACACGATCTCGCACCACACGCAAGAAGCACAGATCATCCACCACCAGACGACACAGACGCAAATCGACGAAACGACATCATTCCCATTACAGATCACGCCACAGATCCACCACACTACGTTCCAGACACCACAAATCAAAACACCGATCACAACGTCGACGCCGGCACCGTTCACATCGCAGGCAACATTCTTCACACACTGACAGGTCCAAATCCAACCATCAATCACACACCGGACACAAACCAGCAGCATCTTCTCAGCAACACACAACACCACAACACCACATGTCACCACTACCACCACCACCAACAACACAACTACCACCTCTTCCACCACCACCGTTACCATCAGATTACACAGGTAAACACCTGTTCTCCACTTCTCCTACTTCTCATCAACAACAACCACCTCCGCCGCCTCCTCTGCCTCCTCCCACAGTACCACCACCGCTTAGCCTGGCTGACAAAATCAGGTCCATCGCCAAGTCCAAGAACACTTACAACACCACAACATCAAAGACTGTCACAGCAGGACAAGTCCACCTCACACCTCGCCAGCAATACACACCACCAACACCACTTGACACTACCAACACTACCAACGAACCACAGCCAACACAAGCAATTGATCACCTCGAAGAAGCCATCGAACGACAAATACAACAGGATCCGTCAGTCCTCATTCCGTGGGAACCTCCCACGCGTGACAGCTACCAGATATTCAATTACCAAGAGCTAGAGCAACGCCTTCACTCAGCAACACTCCGAGCCCGTGAGCTCACAGCACCGTCAGTATACTTCCGATTCTTATCGGATCGGGACAAAAGTGTACGTGACATGAAAGAATGGTTGGAAACACGATTTCCAGCAGGCATCGACCTACCAGAAGAACACATCACCACAACGTTAGCAAAGTACATCGTCACAACCGGCATGCCTATCAACAACACACTCACCCACATCACATTTCACCAGCACCAACAATTCAGAATATGGCAACTCCACTTAAAAAACATGCCACGCAACCCCGCAATATCACTATCACAAGCAGGAAACGCCTACTACCATTGGGCACATGCCACAAGCGAATCGGGATTCTTAGGAATCCTACTCCATGGCCTAATCCTACCAACATGCTCTGAATCCATGGATGGCCGAAAAGTTCATGGCTTCTTTTGCAGTGCCACAATGGAACAGGACAACCTCATCCACAAAGTCGTCCATCGATACCTCAGCGGCAAAAGCCATGTACCATTCATCCTCACAGGACAATTGTGGGGCACACACAAACCAGTACCCACAGGAGGAACATGGGCCGAACAAGAAGAAGTGGACACTCATGGCATAGTCCACAGACCACGGGATCGACGTTGGTGCATTCACTCAACACTAGCACACATCTCCAGCATTTGGATCCTTGAGCCTGATCCAAACTTCTCCACACCAGCACAGCACACGCTTGCGCATGAAGATGGGTTTGGCGAGCCGCAGCTGCTGCCGACAGATGTGCAAATGAGAGGCTGCTGACGCGTCAGTTTCACCTCCATTTATACTATAATATGATATGCTATTTTTATCGAATTTACTATTTCTAGAGAATCTCCACCTTCCTGCAAATATAATGTGTCCTTGTGATATAAATAATATCCTATTTGAAATCTTCCCAGTGACACGTGGCATAGAACATATCAGCGGAACCAGCAAAAAGAGCCGATGTACAGTGTACTTCCACCAAGCCGTTTGCAATTGTTTGAAGGGTTTTGCCGACATGTCGTCAACCATTGTAATTCAAAAATTCACATGCGTTAACATCGTTGATGTCATCAAATCCTAATTGCCTAATACAATTTTGTTTGGATTTGTTTGGATTTTATCTCTGATAGCAATCTCTGTTTCAGAATTGTTTCTGATAGCAATCCTCGTGCTCAAAAAAGTAGATATTGTAGAGATCATCAGGACACCTTCACGTTTCTTCGTTGTTTGAGTGCAACCATGACCTCGTGGCGCGGCAGCATGGGACCGTATGATTCTTGGCATTCGAAACAATACCAAGTCAACACACCACCAAGAGCATATCAAGCACACACACAACACCAGCAGTGGAACGAACCACCCAGCCCACAAGGCACAAAGCGGTACGACCGCAACTTACCGAGCAGTTTTCAGCCAGACAATGAACATTTTGACACCAAACACCAGTATGGCTTGACGTTTCCACGCCAAGTCACAGCCACAGCCTGGAGTCAAAGGTACCAACTTGCAGGCCGACCCATCGAAAGTGTCCACCTACATGAATTGGCATACATGGGATGGTCCAATTGGAACCTACGCGCCTTAGCCAACGGGAAATTCACATCAATAGTGTTTGCCCGCAGCATCAAAGAATCCATATTTTTTCATCACCTTTCCGTCAAACTTCGTGATGAGCACATCGACCTTGATGATGTAGCAGCAGCATACTGTGATCAACAAGGCATCACAATCACTGATCCAGACCCAAACCAGTTGAAGAAAACAAAAATCCATCACTTGGTCAACGGAACCATGGATTACTTCCGCCAGTTCACCAACACCAGCCTCCAAGATGCCCAAGCCAAGATTCGAGCACTTGAACAACAGCTTCAAGCACAAGTAGGTCACACCACATCCAACAACCAGCTTCCGGTTGCCGAAACGCAAGAACAAGATCTCACACACGAGCCAGCCCTACCAACACCACCAACCAACCACGAACCACGCACGCCACCAACCGCACCTAACAAACGAACAGCACCAGCAACCAAGGTCACACAACCAGCTACCAAGAAACCAAGAACATTACAGGACATGGGCATCAAAGCACGCACTGCTGACAACACTACTACTTCAGCACACACCGCCACTCCTCGCAGTGCAAGTGACACTCCTCCACAAACCACAATCACCGACCTACAGGACAGCATCCACAATCTACCAGGCACAAACACCACACGTCCTTTCACCACAGCCGCACCACATACCTCAGCAACAAAAACAGTGGACGCTTAGATTAAAAAACAGCCAGTTCCAAAACAACACCAGGCAGCCCTTCAGGAGGCATTGAGCACATTGCATCAACTCATGAAGAAAATCCCAAAAGCAGAGCAAAGCACGTTTGCAGACAAAGCAGCATCGCTTGGTTTACCAGTGGCACTGGCGGCAAAGGCGCGCAATGAGGAGCTCTACAAGCTGCTGCTGTTTGCGGTCACTCAACTCGAGTGACTAGATCGCGGCGATCCGACTCATGTACAGTTTTCGGCGGCATGCGTTGCGTTTCTCGGATTCTTGCAACATTTTCCACCTGATGATTTTTATGACACTGTTGCTTTTCGAACATTCCTACGTGTTGCAGTTGGTTTTTGTTTTCTTCATTGGTGTACTCACCAGTCTCATAAACAACCATGTCGAAAATGGAATCGGAGATTTGACAGAACATGTTTGAGGTCTGTTCGCACTTTTGTACAGTTGCAACAAATGTTCTGTCAATCCAACACTGTATATATACTTCTTCATGCAATTGTCATATCGGGACTCAACATTCGTCTTTCCAGCACAGAACACTACATTGGCAGTACCATACACACGCTACACGATCGTCAGAACACCAGACAACGCAAGCTGAGACAATTAAAACAAGCACAACCGGTGTCATGCGAATTGGCACTCCATTGGTTTTGCAGCCAAAACAACTATTATCAATTTGTCGCATTGCCGTTACTACACACCAACACAACATTACAAACACGAACGCTGGAAAGCTACATCATCCAAAAGTGGCGTCCACCACAACTACCCGTTTATCCTACAACGACAAGTCACAAAACAACATTCAACACCACACTTACGACAAGCACTACGCACCACTTATTTGGGAATCGGAAACCGGCTCTACGCTCAGCTTCGACGACGACTGATGTATCAACAAGTTTTCCAATTTTACGACCACAATCTTTCCAAGCACACCACAGCTTGGGTTCAACTCCACATTCTTGCTGAACAGAGCCAACGCTCATTTGACATGCAACGCCACATTCGATCCAGTTCCACCCACTCCAATCACCTTTTTGCTCTTTACAAACTGGCCAACCAAATGGATGACCCACCACGCACCCGTGTACGCAGCCTTATCAAGTCAGCCATACAATTTCGACAACTACCACTACCACCCACTCCACGACCATTAATTTTACCACTTCTTTGTCACACAACCTTTGCAACACAGACACGCATCTGGCTTCGCCAATTAGCCAGACAACAAAAACCGTGGCTACCACCCTTCCACGTGCCAAAATGCAACATTACAGCAGGCAAACACACAACACTGAAACAAGCATTATTCTCTCACTTCAGTTGGATGAGACAATTTCAGTGGCATATTCCTCCAGCATGCTTATGTCACCAGATCACAACACAGCACCCGCAACTCCTCACCACTACACTCGACAATTCCCCACACATTGCCAGTCCAGCAGGACATCTAACCATTCCATTCCGCCTCCAACAATTCTTATCCACACATGCCGGCACGCAGGTCTATCCTACCAGACAACACTACATCCAATGCACATGGCCAACATTACAACGCTGGCTTCAACACCACAGTCTCTTCAACATCACCTATGAACATTGGATACATTGGCACCAACATGTACATGAGCAGTGGACACAGCACTTGACACACGCACAAGAGTCCGTATCGTGACATCAAATACCTTAAGTCAATCACCAAATCACTAGTGGTCCACTGTCGGGACCATGCACCATCAGCCATTTTTGTTTTCTGTCCATACCTCTACTGGACCGTTCTTCGCAGGACTTTTGGAGACACTACAGTTTACACACAGACCACTCTCACACCAACACAAGCAACACAGTTTCTCCAACAACTTGCCAACCAACCTTGGTTGCGCAAATACAAGTGGGGTTGCAGCAGCACCAACCAATGCCCCACGGCCTACGTTCTTTTAAAACAGAAGAAACAATTTCTTGCAGCTCGACCTATTATCAACTATCGCAGGTTTCTTTTCGCAAAACTCCTCAAAGCCACAGCCATTATCCTTCAACAACTACTCCAATCTTGCATGCCAAACACCTTTGGTCTTCAGTCACTTCAACAGATCTTTTCCAATCTCCAACAATTCCTCACACACATACCACCAGACGCAGAGCTTACAGTCCACAATCAAGACCTTGCCGGCTTTTTCACTTCTATTCCAGCACAGCGCATCATGCACTCGGTACGAACACTCCTTGACTTCTACAAACAACAACATCCACATGTTGATCACAATACAATGTTCACTGTCAATCTTCGGCAAACAGACAACACCTTGCGGATGTTCCGAGGCCGGCCTCGCAAAGCAGCCAACAGCCATCACCAAATCCGATTTGGCGACATTTATGACATTTGTCAACTATCCTTGCAAGCATCAATCTTTACACACATGAACCACACCTTCCAGCAAGTACGTGGCAGCGCTATCGGCAATCAAATCAGCCCGGTTCTCGCCAACATTACAGTTAGCCATGTGGAACATCAGTGGCGCACACAGCCACAAATCCAATTACTCCTACAACAATTCTCTGACCGTATCTATATCACCAGATACGTTGACAACCGACTTGTTCTTATCGACAAATCACAACAACATCATGCAGGCATCCGGCACTTTCTCACAGACACTTTCTATGAACCTCCGGTTCTCCTTGAACAAGAACCAGACCTATCCTTTCTTGGCTGCACAATCGACCCTGATCGTCAGACCTTATCCTACATACAACCAACCAACACTTGGCAATTCCAACCTTTTGCTTCAGCAGCATCAAAGCAACACAAACTATCAGCAGCATTCAGCCGGATTTGCTTGGCTGCTCGACACAGCTACCCACGTAAACAAGCAAAAGATGATGTTGAGTCCTTAATTCGAAGGTACGTATCGCTCGGATATCCCGAGAAAGTACTACGAGCCAAGGCGTCTCAGATGCTTCGGCATACTTGCTGATTGGTTCTTTGGTCAAGTAGGAGCTTTGATTTAATACCTAATATCCTCACCTCAAACCACCAGTTTTATCCGTCTAGTTTCAACTCCAAAAAAGTAGGTTTGTTTGACTCCTGTTTTCGACATATGTGACTCGAGACCAACAGCACTGAGGGGTGATTTCCTCACATTCAGTCCAAAACAACCACACCGAGGGAAGTCGTTCTTGGAAAAATCGTGCTCAGCGGCTTGATATACGTCTAAGTGAAAACCTTGGATCTAAGGGAGCAACCAGTGGAACAGAAACATCGTGCCCTAGTGGCTTGCTGTGTGTGAGAAACCCTGAATCAAAGGGAAAAGCAAGGGGCCCGTGGACGCATAGATGGCACGGGCCAACGAAGACCCATCTATGTAGTCGTGAAAACGTACCTGCATCCGAAATGGCAAGGTGGCCAAGCCAAAAACCACCCAAGCCGACATGTCATGACATGACATGACATGACATGCTAATGTAACAACACGGCATGACGGTTATCATTTCATCTCATTTCACCCTCTCCATTATGGAGTTTACCAAAGTGTGTGTATCTCTCTCTCTCTCTCTCTCTCTCTAATCCTACAAATGGAGTTGAGCATACACAAAAGTGGGCTTGACCCACAGGCAATTGTGGGCGGTGTACCTATATAGTTATGTATGAAGTTATATGTATGAATTCGTTTGGGATGTGTTGGGGCCCCATTGCTGTCTCAGGTTCTGCCGAGCCAGGCTCGCAGGATGCATCCAGCGTGAGCCAGCGACCCAGAAGTCGTTGAACTGGGCAGAAAAATATCAACAAACTGATCAGTGGTTGCATGATGGTTGCATGATGGTTGCATGATGGTTGCATGATGGTTCATGAGACTGTTCGCTATGTTGTTGAGCGATATATGATGGTTTTTCATGTTTTTTCCCCGCGGTTTTCTCCCCATTTTCTGCGAGGCTTGGAGCTCTGCGAGTTTCAAAGTGCTCAAAGCTGGGACCTGCGCAGCACGTTGCGCAGCACCCTGGGAAGTGGCTGGGCCCTGGCTACGTTGAAGGTAGCTGAATAGTTCAAGGATTTTGGTTGGAGTTTGATGCTGGATGATGATGATGATGATGATGATATATTTGTCCACATTACCTCTTCACCCTGAATGGTCCCAGGTCAGAAGTGTGTGGCTTTGAGCGAAGACAATGGGCTGAAGCTGCAAACGTGTGACTTGGCTGCATCGGCCAGGACACCATGTTCTCAAACCTTTTCTTGGAGATCAACTAGGTCTCCCAACCGCAGAGCTGTTGGTCAAAATAATGACCCACAAATGGATGTTACAGTGCTATTCTACATGTATACCGTACAGTAAAACATACATGAACATGACAAACAAGCCCTCTGGTGCCCCGTTTTTGACAACTCGAGCAGGTGACAAGTCTCTGAAGCAGCAGTGGCGTTTCAGCGGCCAATGGATCAGAAACCAACAAACAGGCCCCCGACAGGGACAGGGATGATATGGGTTTGTCCGAAAACGTCTTACCCCGAATTCTGATGCTAATTTTTGGGTACCCATTTTTGGGGCAAAGCCGTATGGCACGTGTCAAGTTACCCGCCATCCGCTCATCTATTTGTTCAGGTTGATTGACGTTGTTTGCTTGTTTGTTTGTGCTGCCTTGTTTCAGACACTGTTTGTTTGTATGGGTTTGGGCAGGGATAATAATTGTTGGAACAACTTCCAGCGTGATAGTGTAAGCAAGCATATTGGAGCCTGTAAGTTTGCTGACAAGTTTTGATAATCTCCCTCACGCCCTTCAAAATTGCACCCGATCATTTGAGTTTCTCGCAGAATACGGTGTTTTCATGTATGTTAGCACAACAGCGTTCTCTCCTACGGTCTCGTATAGATACAACTATAACTATACATTAACACACGCATGATCTATATTGTATGTATATCTGTACAAGCACCACAATTTGATAGATATTGACAGATATAATTAGTATACACTCATTAACGCGCAGATAATTACTTCGATAATTATGTGTGTACGTTTCAAAAGGTTCTTTCTGTCATAGTGCGTGGCGATACATGTTGAATCGGACATGCGTGCTTGCATAAAGTACATACATAATCATACATATACATACATGATTTGTTCTTGTTTCCTTTTTTAATCAGCACTATAATTCCTTATATATGATTATAACATCCTATGCCCATTGACTCGGTTTGGGTATCAATCAGGTAAACAAACTAAAATGTCTCTCCTGCGTTTTGTCATGTTGTGTCAGTGACGGTTTGGCATGTCGTATCGCAGGTGATTGCCTAACAGCCAAAGAAGCTGATCTTAGTTTGTCACCTTGCGACGCTAGTGTCGCGCAGCAATGGGAGCAGCTGGATCTCAGGAAAACAACCGAGTTGTGACCGTTGTGTGCGTTGTGTGCTTGGCGGGAAGCTCCTACTTTTCCATTGGAACGTATGGTGAACACATTAAAACATTGGTGACATACCAATGATAAGTCCAATGATTGGGACATTATAGTATAAATAAATAAATAAATAAATAACTATATATATATATATATATACATATGTGCAATGATGATATATAATTTGTACATAATATGTGTGTGTGAACAAACACACATATAACATATATATTTCCTCCAACTTGTAGCACAAGTGAAAAATAGCTGAACATCATCAAGACTGATTTGTGGCTCTTAGCTTTGGTGATAAAGTCGAACATGTGAACAACATCAAAAAAGGGTTGGTTGGGAAAAGGGGTCGGTTGGCCACTCCTACTGAAGAATCAGGACACATCTGAGTCATCGGGATGTAATTCGTCCCATTGAGATGGAATTGAAACCGTGAAACCACCAGCATGCAACCATGAAGAAACATGACACCTTCCCCGAGGCGCACCCTAGTTGAGTGGAGTATTGGATCCCTTCGCTTTTAAATCTTTCAGGTCTCTCTTCCGGGGAATCTGGCGGCTCTCCTTGCTTGGCGGTAGCTGAACTGTTGAGTGATCCATGCAAAGTTTGCATTTGTCGTGTCACACTCACTGCCAAGCATCTCATGCCTGAATCATTGCGCCGAGGGCTCGATTTGCAAACAGTGGCTACTAAGGAACTGAAGAAAGATGTGATGGGCACCCTGCAGGCACCAGCTGTTTCTGTTTGAACAGACGGTACCATGTGTTGCTTCCCTGATCAATCAAGTGAAGGATGCGAGGCTTCAGTATAATTTTGCGCTGCATCGCAAATTGCACAGGAAACTGTGCTGGCGGCTTTTTTGTAAGGTACAGGTTCGTTCGGACCAGCTTTGTATGATCAATGTATATCATAGGATACTCCTTTCGACCATGTCCGCATGCAAAAAACGTCATAATTTCAGGAAAGCCTTGATGCAGTAAACCATGTGTTTGGTGTTTATTTCGTTCTCTCAAACAACCTAAAGTTAAGCCCCCATTGTTTGCAGGTTTTTTTCCGATCGCCGATGCCAGTTGAAGACCAACGAACTACTCCCTGAACGCTTTCAGGCCTGGAAGACCAACCAGGACTGCTGTGTTGGGGATCCTTGGGGAACAGGTGATGGTTGATGGATGTTGATGGTAGATATGGGTACCCTCTGCTAAACTAACATAACTATGGAAAATCACCATGATTTAATGGGTAAATCAACTATAAATGGCAATTTTCAATAGCTCTGTTGGTCATTACCAGAGGGTATACGGTATACTGAGTTTTTTCAATTAGGCTACCCCAAAGAATCCGAAACATTCATTAATGGTGATGATGGTAGATCAAAATTCAGCTCATCCCTTGGCATGGTTTTTGGCATTTTCCAACCCAGGAGGACAAGGCGACAAGAGTACAGATGGAGTTCCAAATCGCAGCATCTTGGATCGGCTTAAGCGGCTTGTTTTGTTGATACATGTTGATACACAATCAATCGATCAATCGATCGCTGGCTAATCGCTGGCTCAGAGCCGCACAGGGTGCAAAACTCAAAGCTGCACAGATTGACAGAATCAACGTCATTAATGGTTCCGAGGATCCGCGCGTAGATATGATTTGAGGAAATTTGAGGAAATGAAGCAAAAATCCAGATCCCCTACATGCAAAACCAAGAATGCGGACGATTGTTTACTCACTAATAGTTGATAGTCATACCATTTATATTAACCATTCTATCCCGTATTAGATCGTATTAGTAATACTTAATGGGTATGCATTAATATGCCACAACAGGTTTGAGCCCGGTCAGGGCATTGTTTGTACAAAATCCTCAGGCGATTGCCGGTGCTGATATTGCCGTACGAGAGAGCTTGCTTGCGAAGACAAATGCACACACCCTGACCCTTGGCTGATCTTGGCTGACAATCTTGAATCTTGCACTTGGTTTGGCAGAAATGTGGTAATTAAACCGATAGCCCCAATAATTCAATGTAATAAACCACCAATTTGGAGGGTTTATACTTTATACCACCCATTTCCTGGTGATACTAGGGATGGTCTATGATTGGGGTTAGTCAAGCCTATAACATTGTCAGTTCTCATATTTCTCTAACTATTCTCATGTGCAGTTTTTCTAGGGCCCCTGACTGAGTAGTAGGGTAGGGGCATCAGAATGGTTCCATCAAGGCCTGTTTCCTGTGGCATCCCTTGGTGTAATGAATCTTACTCTGCAAAAAAAAAACACAATGCCGCATGCCCCTGCCATGTTTGCTAGACATCCGGTGGAGTTTCGTATGGTGCCCAGACGTGCCGTGTGACGTTCGAAATGTGATGATCCTGCTGAACGTTCGCAGAAAATGGGGGATGACGCCCAAGGGGATACTCTGGGGGACTATCCGACTATCCCCAAACTCCAGCGGTTCACCATAATTAATCAGTTACTGTACCATCTGGTTATTTAACATAGCCATGGAAAATGGCTCATTTATAGATGGTTTAATATGGTTTACCTTTAAAAAATGGTGATTTTCCATGGCTATGTTAAAAAAAACCAGATGGTAATCATTATTTTTCACCATCGTTTCTCCGCTGATTAAAATGATTTTTATTATGAGGACTCAATGGCCATCCTTCTCCCCATGGTTTGATGGCCATAAATTGCGGTCGTCGAGGTGCGGTCGTCCAGAAGACCAAGTGGCTCAGGTGGAGGCCATGTGAGAAAAATGGTAAAATGTGAACCACCAGATTTTGGACATGAACTTGAAACTATAGGCGATAATTGATCCTAATTGATAATATATATAGTATATATATATACTTATATGTATCATTATATATATATGTGTGTGTTTTATATTTATATATATACATATATATATATACAGATTTGTTTAATTCAACTGCAACTATGCCAAAGCTGTGTGCTGGTTTCAACTGTTGGCGATATTTGCGGGGCTTAGTTTGGCTTCCTCTCCGGAGTGGGCAGGAACTCTACAAAAAGGTGGACACCATGAACTGGAAGGCCGGTCATGGGGAATCTGAGGACTACCTACAGTATCACATCATCCCTGTGCTGCACGAAATGGACGAACGTGTCCAAGCTCCACTCTGTTCTGGTGACACATCAAGTTGTGACTGAGGCTGAGGGTCCTTGGGCGAAATCTGAGGGCTTAGCAGTGAGCCGCCACCCTTTGGCCGTGGTCAAAGAGGCTGAAAAGGGATATGGATATGGGTGACGATGGGTGACGGTGTGAAACCCGCATGCTTTTTTAATCTTTTTTGCGTAGGCTGTCTCTAAACCAGTCTATGCATATCAAACATTGCAATGGAAAATCCACCATGATCCCGAATGATCCTGAATGGGACTTCCCAGCCATGGCTTACCGGGCTTACCGCCAGGTGGGCCGACTGCCAGGAGCAGACCTAGTGGAAGCTCGGCTGGGACCTGCTATATGCATAGTATACACACAGTATATAAAATATATAGATGTAGAGATATATAGAGTAGATGGATGGATGGATGGATGGATGGATGGATGGATGGATGGATGGATGGATGGATGGATGGAAATATTATGATAGATTCACACGAGGCTTCGTCCTTTATTTTTAGACGACCTGGAACCGGAGAGTCCATCCCATTGTGCAGCAAGGACACCATGGAAGCGATTGGGGCCAAATGTGTCCGCAGCTGCTGCTCCTGTTTTTGCCCCTTGGCATCGCTGCCCAACTGGCGCAGTGGAGAATGGAGTTGTGCCACTGCAACATGTCACAACCATGGTTGTCACCTTTATTTTTGTGAATATATATATATATGTATATGCATGTATATATATATATATGATGTATCTATAGCATCTTCTGGGTTCAAAAATCTTTCTGGAATAGATGTCATATTCTAACATCTTCTAATGTGGTAAAAACAAAAACAAACCATCCCTGAAATCACAATTTTCATGGGCGGTATAAACCATTCCCAGTCATGGGTGGTTTGTGGCATTGTTTTACCCACATTAGTTCAAATCGATCAGTGAACAACCAGCACAATCCAAGGCCGCCGACTGCCGCGGTTGACAGAGGAGAACGAGGCGCTGCGCTTGCGCGCGGCCAAGGCATTTCTGGAAGCCATGATGACGAGGCAAAGCGGCGAAGCCACGGCCCGTTGGGCTGGGACATCATGGGGCTGGGACTGGTCATAAAACGATGTCCCATTGGCTGTTTTTTTGTGATGATCTTTGGCTGGAAAGGAGGTGAATCATGATGCAAATGAGGTGTTTCAATGCTCCATGAGATTTGGTTTGGATCCTCAATGGGATGAAATGGGCTTTGGATGGCTTTGGCCATTTTTGGAGATGTTTCGGTTTAAACTGAGCGACCTCCACGTCGCTGGTAGTGAGTCCTGGGTCTGTGGCTGTTGCTTTTGAAATAGTGTGATTATGTGTGATTCGTTTTTCATCATCATTTTTTCATCCAAGAAAAGGGGTAAGAATCCCAAAATGGCTACCTACAGTGCTTGCTTAAACTGGGCTTTAGCGAGTTTCACTCGCGGTTTCACCCGTTGAAACCAGCCAGTCTTCAGGAGCGCCAGCATTGTCCTCTGCATCAATGCTGCTTGGACCATTTGCTGTGACCACTCAGTCAGATGAGCCCGGACTTCATGACGTGTCTTCGAATGTCTGCCATGATTTTTCTTTGGTGGTTGTGGAACATGAATTTTATGTTCCCCAATAGTTGGGATGATGATCCCATTTGACTTTCATAGTTTTCAGAGGGGTAGGTATACCACCAACCAGTCCTTGTTGTATGATGGAAAACCATGGAAAATGTCCTAGCACCATATTGTCGTATTGCGTTGTAATTCTCATCATATACCTGGTGGGTGATCGAAAGGTCCGTGTAAAGAAATCTGGATCGCGAAGACCATTCATGCTATGTGTCAAATTCGCTTTAAGTTGTTCAAGT